GGTGATCAGAACCAAGCTTTTTAAAAAATTATAACTATTAATAAAGAATGAAATTGTAAACAATAAAAGTTAAATTATAATTTTCAGTTAAGATTTCTAAAGAAAAAAGTAATAGCTGGTAATAACAGTTATGAATACTAATTTTAATTTAAGTATAGCTTATAATACATTTCGGTATTATTTATTGTTGTCATTAGTTTTTATTTTTCACTTTACTTTTTCTTGGTTGGCTCAAAGATTTTCGAACGAATCATCAGCACATAAGCATTTATTTTTCATTTCAAAACGGTTTAGCCGTTTTGAAAACGGGTAATCCACGTCGTTTGGCAGTATCGGCAAAATCCTTGAGCGAGCAGCAGTACGTGTACCCCATAGGGAAAATCTTCATCCGCGAGTACATCTGATGGCACAAGTTTTGTTCCTTGCACAGAGCCAAGTCGCTGGTCAATTTTCTCACGAATGGATTGTTGACGGTAATTATTACGACTCCCTGGTTGCTCTCACGGTTGTACGCGTACCTGAAGAGGAGCTTGGGCACCGGCACGACTTCGTTGGCCTGATCGTCCATGGCCATGTACACGGTTTTCTAATAAAAATAGGTGAGTTGTACATTGAGAAAAATATCTGCAAATAATCTGCAGAGGGAAAGTTTACCTTGACGCCGCTGGTGTCCGGAAGCTCGAGGGTGCCATAGCCCCCCGACCACACTTCCAAGCTCGTTTTGACACTCGCTGCCAACTTGCGAACAAAATCGGCACTCGCTTTCCAGTTCCCGTTCACGACGCTCTTCCACATCGGCATCACCTGTTTTCACAATTTACAAAACAATACTTATACTCGAACTAACATAATTTGTGTATATTATTTTAAAATTTTATCACATTGGCGTAGTGCTGCGTCGTGCTCTGCTGCGAAAAGTAGAAAAAGTCCTGTCTGTCTATCAAGAGGCCCCTCACTAGTTGTTCGCCACCTATTTTTTTAAAAATTTGTTTCAGCGAAACTTTATTACTTATAGACACTTTGCTACACAAAAGTAGAGAAATATAACGATATGACCAAAGATGACCTGGTTGGAATATAGTGGCGCCCTCGTCGTTGATGTACTGTTCGGCCAAGGATTCGTCGCCCAGTAGCTTGGAGAGTCGCGTTTTTTGGTAAAACTTGTCGTATATCTCGTCCATGCTGCTGACGGATGATATTCCATCGAAAAACTCACAGGTTTTGAAATTCTGGTTAACGGGTTGACCAGATTTTTGGCGTTCGGCTATGATCGGAACGATCTTCGCGTGAGCCCATAGAGGTCGCTTTCTGCCGGGGTTCAAGTAGATTAGATCTATCGTTGGCACAAAGTCGAAGATGTTTAGGGGAAAGCCGATTGTTAGGCACTCGACGTTGGACGGGCAGTTTACTGAAAAACAACTTGTTATGCATGTGCCTATATAGTGGAATAGTGAGAAATCGTAGGTATACAAACATGTCTGACAAAGTTTTAACTCCTACAATCATCCGAAAGAAACAATTTCAATTGTTTTCAAAGTAAGCTAAATAGTCTAAAACTGTACATAGGTGGATCATCATTTATTGATATTTGATAAAAGAAAAAAAAAAAAAAAAAAAAACTACAGCACTTACCCTTTTCCTTTGACCGTTAACGCACTTAAATTTATTCCATTACCTTTTTTCTCTTTACTCATAAACTTGGCAAGTCCATCGCAAGAGAGTTTTTTCGGCTGATCCCCACTTTTTTTCCTACAATCCAGAAGCTGAGTACGGCCCTCACATTCGAAGCGAATGGGCTCGTCGTCGTTTAATCTGACGATCGATGGCGTCAGTGGATTCGGATAAACAAAACTCGGCGGTTTCTTGTTCGACAACAGGAGAGCAGTCTTGGACTTGTTGAGGTCCCTATGCACGTTTATCGTGCAGTCGTCCTCCGAATTTTCTGAAATGAAAAATATGATTTTTGCCAGCAAAATTCGAATTTATTACCGTACATTTATACTTACGCACGCCGCTCGAGGTAATCAAAAGTATGAGCAGGGCACAGTAAAATCGGTCACTCGTGTTAAACGTCATTGCGTGGAATGTTGTCATTTCATGTTTCGCAATAACAGAAATTTTTTCTGTTTTTTTTTTTTTTTCTCTTCTCCCATTCACTTGTTTTTCGCACGTAATAATCTGATATAAATATATATATATATAACAAGTTACACGGATTTACGTGTCAGATGCGGGAGATAAGTTTCCCCCTCGCGTTTCGTCATTGTCATAGATACTCGCTCGTGCTTCGTTTTCAAGGGGAAATGTTTTCGACAAACTCAAGGGAAAAAAAGAAAAATCTTCTTCCAAATACGTCATGCCTTGACAATTTATTCCAAGTCCTTATACACGCGCATTTCGGATCGGGGGAAGGGGGGTATAAAAGAAACGTACAAAAAAGCATAGCGTTGGGTTACACTGATCGATGTAAGAAAAAAAAAAAAAAAAAAAAAAAAAAAACTGTTTTCTAAAACTAGCAACGCAAATTTTTCATTGCAATGAGTACTCCTATGGATGAGAAAAAAACAATAAGGATGTGCGGTTAGGCATGAAGGGGCGCAGCCCCAGGAAAAGTGGGCAGATCGAGAGCTCGAGCGATTGGGGCGAAGCCCTGGAGGTTGCAGCAGTAGGTAAAGCCCCTTTTAACGCTGCGAAAGTTTGGGTTGAGTTCCTGGCAGACGTGCAACTCCGGGCAGAGTATCATGTCGTTGGTGATCCCGTAAACGAGGTGCGGGTCATTGACGGTGATCAGAACCAAGCCACGGTGCCTATGACAGTCGTACACGTACTTGTACAGCAGTTTTGGCACTGGTATCAGTTGGCGGCCTGTTTGAATGAGAATGTCTTTCTTTTACACATGCTTTGTTTCTGTTACATCCCCCCCTTTTTTTTTTTTTTAATTGTTTCTAGCTATTAGTGTAAGGAACGGCATTACCGGTAAAAAATGGCAAAAATATGAATATTATGAAAATTCGACTTTTAGCGGTGTGTAAAATAAACATATAAATTTACTTATTTTTTCACGCATTGGCATATATAAAATTTATCAGTATGAAGGGCCTTTTTCTGTACGTTGGATGGAATTAAAAAATGTTTGACAATCAGTACGCAACTGTTATGTTTTAGTTATACACGTTAAATGCTATTGTAAGATTACGTCACATCATGAAAATGTCTGATGTATGAAAAGAATAATTTTTTAAAAGCACTCGGTCATCGCCGTAATACCTTAACACTATATTATTACATTGTATAGATTTTTTGGAAAGAGGTCATGCAGAACTAAACCTAATAGTTCAGCTACTTTAAATTCAACGTAAATTAGAAAAAAAAAAATCAAATAAATGATCCAAAATTAATAAAAAAAAAAAAAAGAAGAAACTCGGAAAGTGCCAAAAAAAATTCGCGATCGACGACACGAGACGACAGCTGACCTTGCGAATCTTCCGCCAGATAGATGTTCCTCGGGCAACCCCTGCGATCTGGCAGCTTGAGCACGTCGATAGTGCCAGACCACACGTGCAGATCGTTGGCCGAATCGGCCGCTAATTTTCTCACCAGTTCGCCGACGAGCTGCCAATTCCCGGCCGCTATACTGTACCAAACCGGGGAGTTGGTCTCGTAAAAAGAGGTAGCTTCCTGTTGCGCTGTGTAGAAAAAATCCTGCTCCGAGACAAGTTGGCTCGCGGTCAAAAATTCTTCGCCTGAATGCAAAGAAGACAATGTTTTTTTTTTTTTTTTTTTTTTTTTTTTTTTTTTTTTTTTTTTTTTTTTTTTTTTTTTTTTTTTT